GACGTTACATACAAGGATATCGAAGATTTGAATGCAACATGCAAGGGTTTAGATTCTTGTGAATTACCCAGAAGACAGAATGTTGTTGAACATTGCAACTGTGGTGTTTCCTGCAGTCATCTGGGTACATGCTGCGTAGACTCTAAGCACAGAAACAACTACATAGTACCTTTGAAGAACGTCGAATGCGAATATTTCCGATATGGTAAAAAAATTCGATATTTACCCATGATAAACAGTTGTGATCCCGACATGCTTTACGATGACATTACCGAAGAGCTATCGAAAGCTATAATGATGACGATCCTTTTTTGAAAATACCTGTTACTGATCCTGTAACAGGTATTTCCTATAAGAACCACTATTGCTACGCCTGCAACAGAAACAATGGAGAAGAACAGCCAATACCCTGGGATTTTAAACTAAAAAGTAATTGCATACGTCATAAACTTAATACCACGTCAATACCGAAACTGAATTCTAACGGTTACGAGTGGTTTATGGAGCTTGAGAATAATATTGAAGTCGAAGTTTCTTTGCAAACACCTTTCCCAGACAAATTAAAAAATGTCGTGCCCTATTGTTATAATTTCGAAATAATTGCAGAATGCGCTGATGATTGGACGGATGACACTGTCGAAAAAAAGTGTCTGGCTTACATGGCATTGACTAGAATTCTGAGCGAGGATGGTTTATCTATTCTTCACTACCGAAACCCGCATTGCGCCATTTGCAACTACAAGAGCATTGATGACATGATTTGCCTTGCAATGGATGAAAGACATGGTGGTGGTAGCTCTTCGGAAACTGATGCATTTTTTATTGAATTATCCTCACTGCAGGACGAAACAACGCATTGTGGAAACAATGAAGTATATGATTATTTTACAAAGAATTGCAGAAAGATAAAGCGAGTCCGATTTCGCAATAAATTCGGGTAAGGAGTGTTACATAAGAATTTGCCATTTGTTGTGAATAACAAACTGAGTTCCTAAAATGATCTGAAATTAAAGTTTACAATAACCTCATAAAACATATGTCACCACTATCTTTTATAGGTCGTCGCCACACTGTAGTATTCATTATTTATTTCTAAAATACTTCAGAAAAGAGCTCGATTTTAGGGCCTTTTCAATGTTGTGTGTCACTTCGATAATAAAATGCAATATAATATTTGTATATATATAATTTATAAAGATGTTTATGTTGCTCTTATAACTGCCAATTGCCAATACCTGTATGCCTTGCTTCGGTATAACCAAGTAAATTTTCTGCAGATGTAAAAATCTATTGTTGTGTCGTAGAAATAAAGTGCCAAGTTTATTTGAAAACACTACATCTTTTGTTTCTTAGCCATTGTCAATGATTGTATACTTTACCAGTAGTGCTGAACCTAGTACATCAGCTTGAGTTGAGCTGAGAGCAATATCAATGTATCATAAAATATTGCTATTAAACATTACGATAAAGATATTTACAAAATTGTTCTCAATCTTTATCATAAATATCTTGTCTTACAATATATATCTAGTATACCGTAATTATCAACAATAACAAACATGAAAAACAATGTCACGAGTATTATCGTTAAAATTAATTATCGAATGCGTTATTATCATGATTTTTCATTAACTAAAATAGAATAACGAAATGTGAGCAACTCTCAAATATTATGCAAACAAGAAGAATTATAAAAATGTCGTGATATGCAAAGAAATATCATTTTTTCCTGGAGATTTATCTGAATATAAAAATTCCAATATCACCCAACTTTACTTTGCTTAAACTAGGATCAAAGTCTAATTTCAATATAATAAGTCGCATTATAAAAATGGCGTACATTCTCTGCTAAAATTAATGAATTTAATACGAATTTAATAAAAATGATTGAATAATGAATTTAATAAAATTAATAATTTACATAACGTCATCATTATCATCACTGACACAACAGTACGGAGTAGGTCTTTATTGGCCTTTTCCAGGACATTACTCCCTCCAGTTTTCTTTATCAAAAAATTTCAGTTCATTAAAATAAAATATTTTAGAAAAATGCAAAAAAGGCTTTGAAACTTGTTGTTAAACGACCACGAAAACCACGAAAATCTTCCACGGTTAGCCTGGTGACAAGGAGATTCTAACCCTTGATCCGTTTATCACTGAGGATATTTTACGTCTGTGCGAGCCGAGTGCAAAATTCGTACTGACGAACGATTACTAGGATTCGAACCCGGGTCACCACATTAGGAGTCGAACTCTCTTTCCCCTGAGCCACTACGGCTCAGTGTACCACCATTGAAGTAACGAACTAATAAATAAGATTTTTTATAAACTTTGTATGTACATTGTTTTTTGTTTTATATTTAAGGTTTGGAGTCACCGCGATACCCTTAAAGTATTTTTCATGAGCATATTATGAGCTTTAAAAAGCAACAAAAATACTAAAGAATTATAATAACATATTTAAAAAAATTGTATTTAGTGGGACGGTTTTATGGTTTTCTTCCACGTGTAACACAAATGCAGTATAATTTCATTCAAAAATCCTGCACGAAGGTTCAGTTTTTAATCCGATAGTTCCCTGGTGTCCTGTGTGAATTCATTCACCAGGAGTTGGCAATTGGTCCCACTTCCTCAGACGAAGAGTTCTTTTCAGCACAGGAGTAAGATCAGAAACGTCTCCGCGCTTGAAATTGAGACAACCCTTAATGCGCGCCAAACGCAAACAGTTCATTCTTTTTCAGTCACTTACTTCACTTTATCATCAGCTATTATACTTTCCTTACTCTGGCTAATTAAATATATTGCAGCAAAATATCCCAAAAAGGACATACTATTCACTCAAAAGAGACAAATATTATCAAATTTATGTAATATTTAATGTTAAAAAAATGCTCATAAAGTTTGCTAAATAAATATTTTTGTCATACGATCGCCATATAGCAACCTTTTTAAGGATTCTTCACATCCTTCTCCCAAAAATAGCGAAATAGTATCGTCGGATACCACGTGAATGTAGGCGGAGGCAAGTGTCAACTCCTGGTGAACGAGCTATAGAAGATTATGGACTTGAACATCGATCGCCGAAAATCCGATTGGCATCGACCTTTTAATGCCAGTTAGAAAATTTGAAAAAACAAATTACGTGAAATGGGTAATGAGTATAAACTATGGTATTCGAAAAATACGGTGTGTACAAGTTTTAGGAATAGCTTATTATGCCTGATCTTCCATATTGACATTGCTTAAATAGAATATTTCAAACAGCCGAAATTGTAAAAGTAATAAAATTAGTACAGTGCGCTGCGTAAAAATAATATGATTACCCTAAATAACTTTTGTTTCAATGATCGGATTTCCACGAACTAACAATACGTGTTAATCCTGATGCTTTCGAAAAATGACCTCAAATATGCGAATTAATAGTACTATCTATTAATTATATTACAGAATCCGATACAAAAACGTACTTTCCCTGAACAATCCTTTTCTTCCTCGGATTTGGATTCTTAACTATTAAAATATGAGAGATAGCCGCAATCTGGAAAATATTCTCCCAATAGTTTAGTTCAAAGCGCGGTCAGAAAGTTTAACTTCTTAATGCTGCTAATCTCACATTTTGAGTATTTCGCCTTATCTCGGGAAGCTTTTAAGCGATTAAAAGATAATTTCGATCAAATTTATAAAATTCGTTTATATAAAATAAATAAACGATGGAAAATTTTGTATGCCTTACAATTCTATTTGTTCTTCAATTATTAAAAAATAATAATAAATAATTTCCAATAATTAATTTTTTCATGAAACTATCTTAGGGTATATAAGATTTATAAGTAGGTGCAAAAATGGACGCAATTTGTTTTAGAGATATGACCAAAAAAACAATTCGTAAAATTAGCATTAAGGGATTCAAACTTTCAGCCTGTCTCCTGACTAAAAAGAGACCCCATATTTTCCAGATTGCGATTGCTTCCCATATTTTGATGGTTAAAAATCCAAATTAGTCGTAAAAAGGAGTATGTTTATTTGAAAAAAGCGTGTTTTTTTGTTTGTGTCAGTTACTTAAAAGTTAGCACTAATTTATTAGCACATTTGAAATCTCTTTTGAAATGAAAGTGTGATTATTAAAACAATATTTATTCTGAGCTATATTTTTTTTCCATTTTTCACGCATGCTTAAGGTAGTTTAGATGAATTTACAAACAAAGTGATCCTAACTTTAGCTAGGAAAGTTACATCCAAAGAAAATTTAAAAGAAAAAGGGGAAAAAATAGACCCTCAAACATATTGCTGGACAATTGAAACTGACGGATACTGATGTCGGAAGCAGTTGGCATCTCTGTCGCAGTTGCAGTTGTTGTTGTTTACAGTGCAATCAAAGAGCATTTCAATGATATGTCAGGAATATGTCAAGGATATGTATCATTGACATATCATTTCAATGATATGTCATGGGGTTAAGGAAAATATGAGAATTGTAAAATGAATGCCTAATATGATACAGATGGATTATTTCTTTTATCGCTATTTTAAAAAAAATTAATAAAAATTTAAATAAAAGTGTAATATCTACTAATCTTAGTTGTGTTTTCCAAAAAAAAAATGAGAGAGAAAATAAGATTTCGTAAATATGCCAAATGACCAAATTAGCAGAATAGTGAAAATCTTTGGGAGGTCACAACGACCTCCCGTGACCCTGATGCCCCTGAGAATCATAATCATTAATTATCTAGCCAAAAAATTAGTTAAAATAATTCGAAATAGGCTTAGAATATATTGGAAGTAATTTAAATGTTAAATGAATAAACACTATTGTTCGCAGTGTGATTTGTTTATTTACCCGTACGTGTAAATTGACAAGTTGTTACATGGAAGGGGAATGGGTGGGTGTGTAATGTATGTAAATCATTATTCATTGTACTTTCCTTTAAAATCTATGATGAAATACATAAATTAGAGGAATCAAAACAGAGGAAAATAGTTTGACCTTGTTGGCCGTCATGCTCCATGGCGCATTCGATGGTGGCCACGCGACAATAAAGAATAATGTAGCGAAACGGATTTTATTTTTCTCCCAAAAATATTTTTATCCATAAAATGCAGATAACAGAAAGAAAGTGAGGATGTATAGGATGTAAACAGGATGAGAGAAAAGCACGAAATCCGATTACGTGGATTTGTATTTAGTCAACGAGAAATTCCCAATTGAGAAAGAACAAATTGTTTTGAAAGGTAAGATATGGATTTTCTTGTTTCATTGTTAACTCGTAATTTTGTAAATGTAGATGAGTAAGCTGATTGTGTGTTGTAATGCTGGTGCTATTGCATTTTAAGCGGAAATATAATAGTTCGCTTGCCAATATCCGATTATGTTTTGCCAACTTTAAATAATCTTCCAATGATTAATGTTGTGTAGGCGTAGGCAAAGTTTAATTCTAAACCTAGATAAATAACATTCAAAAGGTGTTACTTTTTATTCGAATTATAGACTACAAATTAAAAATGTGCTTTATTTTATATTTTATTTTTGTCGAATAAATCAGCGTAACTCTTAGGACATCGTTTCCTAATTTTTGTAATTTTACTAACATTGATGAGTAAGCTGATTGCCTGTTGAAATGCCGATGATATTGCATTTACATCAGAAATATAATCATATTTCTGTTGCCAATGTCCGATTATGTTGCTAACTTTTAAAAAAATTCTTCTGATGATCAATGTGGTATAGATGCGCTCAAAATAAGGTGAACATTGCGTTAATTTTAAATCCTGATAAATAACATTTAAACAGTGTTACTGATTATTAAAAATGGGCTTTATTTTATATCCCCTTATTTATATCAAATAAATCAGCGTAACTTCCAGGTTACAGCTTCTTTAGTAGCTACTTCAGTAACTTTTAGTTAGTAACTTTCTTGTCCCATTTTTTGTGACAATGGAACTCTTAATAGTATGACCTTTTTCAGGTGGTACCCCGATAAATAAAGTTCATTATAATATAGTACTTTTAATTCTTTAGTTAGTTATTTTTAGTTCTTATATTAATAAAGTAATTATAAATAAAGTTCATCAGCAATTTTTTGCATGTTAACAAATAAAAGAGTATTAAATATTTCAGAAATTATTTAAAGTGAAGATTGAAATTCTTTGGTTATTTCATAAATAATAATCTTAAGATTTAGATCTCATGTTTGATAGTTAAATTTTGCAAAGCTTCAAGTGTCATCTAGTTCTGAATTGTTTTTTTTTTATATATGCATAAGCTGAAAAATTGCTTTCTTTGAAATAGAAACATATATTATTGTAAGACTGCAAGAAAATAGGAGCTAACTGTTGCAGGAAATACTATATTGGTGTAGATACTTCCTTGAGAGAGTTATGTTTGTTCAAGAGCGGAAATGTGATAGAAAATTCTGAATTTACAAGAAAAAGTTCAGCGACATCAATAGGAAATGATATGACATTTTACCAATATTTTAAACATTTTTATCATATTTTTTTCTGAGTAAGGTAAATTACATAAGGAGCCTAAGAAATGTATCTTTAATGATTCTAAAATTCGGAAAGATGAATGTTATTCATATTGTGATTTGCTAGTAAAAAAAATAAATGTTACGTTTAACAGATGAAGAGCTTTGAGCAATATCCTTCCGAACCCAGCGTCCATTGTATTCCATAAAATCTGATACAATTTTATGATTTAAGTCATAAGATTATGATTTTAAGTTTTTTTTTACAAATTAATTATGTAAAAACTATAATTAGATTTACCCCTCGTTTGTCTGAGTATTCAATTACGAAGAAAAATTATAAAATGAGTTAGAAATTCGTTTCGAGTAACCCTTTGAACAGTTTTATGGCACTTTAAAATGTTCAAATAACTGTTGATCATCAAATAACTGTTAAACAAATTCCACATAAAACTGTTGTTGTTATTTGAGCTCAAGAGATGATTAAAAGGTGAAGAAAAACATTATACATATAGCTCAACATTTAATTTTATCATTTTNACCAGTAAAGTGAAACTTCTGCTTTAAGTTTTTTTTACGAATTAATTATGTAAAACTAATATTGTATTGACCCCTCGTTTGTGTGAGTATTCAATTACAAAGAAAAATTATAAAATGAGTTAGAAATTCGTTTCGAGTAACCCTTTGAACAGTTTTATGGCACTTAAAAATGTTCAAATAACTGTTGATCATCAAATAACTGTTAAACAAATTCAACATAAAACTGTTGTTGTTATTTGAGGTCAAGGGATGATTAAAAGGTGAAGAAAAACATTATAAAAATAGCTCAACATTTAATTTTATCATTTTTATAAAATAACTAAAAAAAATGCTAATTAAGTTTAATTAATTGAATATTTTTCAAAGTTTTTTTAATCGTATTTATGAATTTACTTTCTTTTATGCTGCACACACATTTTTAAGTATCACCTGTTATTTAAAATTCAGGTCTCTGAAAAATATAGTAATACAACAAACTTTTTCAGAAAGAAAATTACATTGAACTCCTCCGTAATTTTATTTCCAGTTTAATACCTAACAGTATTTTCACCAGATAACAGCACAAAACGTTCATGCAGATACGTCTTAACTGTCTGCATAGAAATCGTGGTATTTATTTTCCCAAAACGCTCTCCAAAATAACTTGAAGAATTGGCTACTTTAGAAAACTTTATATAATGGAGATACTATTTGAAAGAAATTGTGCGATTTATTTTGTAATAGTTTTCAACATTCATTTGAGACCTATTTTGTAAGATAGAAAAAACGTTAAATTTTTTAAAATACCCATATATATCGGAATATATGTATAGGGGTTTAAAAAGTTTAGTCTGAAACATGCCAAAGCGAAAACACAGGTAACGTTAACATCACCATTTACTACATGCGCTTTTAGTCAAATTGATGTTGCTGTGTAGCCATTCTTATGTTAAATTTATAACATTAAAAATTATTATTACGTATTATCTTCCCAATTATTCTAAATTTTGTTATCGGATATTGATTACTTGATAGCAGCTAATGGACAATTTGCATATATTTTGTATTTTCTCCCCACAGTATTCATTTTAAACCCATTTCATACAAAAGAATAAGTGTCATATTTGTCGATAATTTATTTTAGACAAAATACGTAAAAGAAAAATTTAGAGAAAAATGTATCGCACGGAAATTTTTCAGAGCGCCGAATATCATGTTTTCAAAAAAGAACCACTCTCTTCAACGTTTAAGAAATAAAGTATCTCAAAAATTAATAAGCAAACTATTTGTATCTTTTTACAGATTAAAGAAGGCAAAGAAATGGGTTATCATTGCTAGCTCATGCATTCATATCAAGCATCAGCCATATTTTTGGCATCATTCTTGGCATCAGCCATATTAGCTCCAGCGACTCTGCCCAATGCATTCAACTACAATGAGATTAGAAAATGGAATGCATCATGCTCACCCAAAGATACCTGTTCCATCCCCAGAGATCTGGACAACTCAGACCACCACAACTGTGACTGCAGCAGCATCTGTGTCCTTTACGACACCTGCTGCATCGATTCACCTTTCCTCAACATCAGCAGCAACTACAAGCGGTCTGCTACTTGCAGAATCATCAGCAAGTCAGGAGACAGCGTCTTCATGATCGATGTGTGCTCCTCACGGTACAACGGTCCTTCAGATATTCGCAGGAGGTGCGAACAAACTTCAAAGGACTGGAGCGATCCTTTTAACAACATACCTGTTACCAATCCCAGTTCCCAGAAGACCTTCAAATCTTTGTTCTGCGCCATCTGTAACGGTGAAGATCTCCGATCACTTGTAATGTGGCACGTAATGATGGACTGCTCTTCCCTCAGTGAATACATGGATGTTTGCACCGAAAACAGGGATTTCGTGCTGAAGAACATGATGTATATCAGAGAGAAGGGACTATGGGGATTGTGGTCTTGGGATTCGAAAACAGATTGGAAATTCAGATATTTACCAATCACTTTTAAGATCCCTCCTGGCATTAAAAATTCCGTTAAAAGCTGCAGGCCTAATTTAGTGTCCTCTTGTGGCAAGAGATGGCGGGACTTAAAAACTAAGATGCTCTGTGAGAGATATATGGGGGCCATTTATTTGGATGACGTCGCGTACAGGAATGTTCATTGTGCGGTTTGTAATTTTGTAACCAACATGACTGGTATGTTTTGTCATGACTCAGAATCAGAGTTTAAAAGTCCAACGATGTCTTTTGGACTTTTATTAGACATCAACTTAAAGGATGGTGATAAAGTTGGAATGAGTGAGGGTAATTGCGAAAGTGACGAAGTCTATGATCCATTCTCTAAAAAATGCCGCATTCTGGAATGCCCTTTGCCTGGATTTACTCTAAAAGGTGGCAAATGTGTGAATGATTAAAATATAAAAAATTCTTAGTTTAAAAAAACCAATCTGGTCAAACAATGAAGGTCTTGATATAGTTTCTCAGAAATGGTGTTTAAGATCCCAACAATTTCATCTGAACATCTACATCTATACAACTAAACCTCAATGTTCAGTACTAGTGTTAGAGTTGAAGTCATTTGCTTTGCATAAGTTCCACGCTTATACTTAAAGACAGCTTATGTGACGACGAACAAAATAGATGGTGCGTTTGTTTAAAAAACTAGCTCAATCTTTTCTCAAAAAATAAATTGACATTTGAATTTAGGTAAATGTTATTGATATTTTTTAGAGAAAAATGGAAATTCAAAATATCGTTTAAAGCAGATTCTATCTTAAAGTTTCAGTTTTCATATTCACTAAATATATCATTTGAGTAATTTTCAAACAAGGTACTTTTTTTATTTTTTATTTATAGTTATTTTTTAGACTCAACTACCACCGATTTTATATATTCATATGTCATTTGGCAAAAATATGATGAATGCTTCAATTTCATATAATTGCACTTATTTATGTTGTAAGTTGTCATTAAAGACATGGCCGATGTAAATAAATAAATCAGATATTTTAAGTTGATTTCGTTTTGTCTATCTGGAAATAACACCAAGGTAAAGTTTGATGTAAAAAAATGGCTTATAACTCCCCTACACCAAATCCCTAAATTGTTTTTTAAAAAAATTTTAATTATATAATTGTTCCTACTCGGTCCTATATAGTTTTCAATTGTTAAATTATAAAATAAAAAGAAATCTAACAAACTATTTAAATGTTTAACCAATACTTTACCGTAAGCATGCTATTTAATACGCATTAATTAATCTTAATTAGTAATGCATGCAATTGTTGGGATAATTGCAGGTGTTATGTATTGTCTGACTCTAAAGTAAGATGTGCCCCAAGAACCCTTAAAATTGAATCTTTAATTCGAAAAAATCATATCATTAAATCAAAAGCTATTCAAAATGCAACTCTTTTTGCTGTTTGTTTTTTCATTGAGAATAAAATTGAAATTAGGAGAAAAATATATGTTTTTAAATCTGTTTCAAGCTTTTAAACTCTTTTTGTTGATTTCATACAATCAATTTTTTAAACTAAAGTGATATTAAAATACAAAACAGCATTCCAAATGATAAAAAGAAAGCACTTACCAGTAAAGTGAAACTTCTGCTTCGTTCTGCTCCTCAAAATTGTCTCTCGTGCTTATAAATGTCTTAAAATAGCAGGACATATTTATAAAACTTAATTTTGTTCTTTATCCAAAAAGTCAGAGACGAACTATTTTTCTACAACGAAATTCCCAAGCATCATACACTTGCACAATTCCAAGTGTATCATACACTTGCATACTTAAATTATTAAAAGTCCTATCCTATAGTTTTAGAAAGGAACAAATACATTTTCTTTCCAAAAAACAAAGTGTTCAACACATTTTATTGCAGATTAGCAAGCTCAAAATTTCTGTTTCAATAAAAAAAAAACTTATTACATCACCTAAGTTCATAGATTAATCTGATCTAAGGTACACTTATTTCTATTTTTATAATTAAATTCAACTTTTAAACAGAACTTTTTAGTTACAATATATGGAACTAGAACTTTATCGATCAAAAATCGATGGAATTTAGTTAATTGAACGTCGAGAGTAAACGAGTAAAATCAGTGTTTAAAAATTGTGTTTACTAAATTCCCGTTTGAAAAAAAAACGAATTTTCGCATTTAGATTTTAACTCTCGCCAAGTTCGAAGCCAACAATTCTACGTAAACAAGTTTTGAAACAAACTAAATGCGTCCAGTTAAGGAATGCCTCCTATATCTGAAAGCTTCCACTCGGTATTTTGCAGGTAGTCCGAGCAGACCACTATGAAGGTAAACCAGATAGTGAAAGGACCATCATTTAATATGAACTCTATTAGAAAGTGGTAGCAAATATATGTCTCAAAATTTGTTTAATTTATGAATATAAATGGTTTGTTTTATTTACTTGTCAACCACTACAGATTCAATTCTCAAATATATATGATAAATTTCTCTCAAGTACTTTTGATATAGAACTCCATTTTGCTCCCCAAACTTTAATTTTGTCATGTATGTTTCTTAGTTTAATTTCAGGATGAATGGGAAAAGGGTCGTTAGGCCTCAGGCTCCCAGTTCCACTACAACGAACGAACGAACTTTTGAAATAGAATTTGGGTTCATGCGCACAAGTGGTTCGCTTTTTAAATAATCTGCGCAGATTACTTATAATAAACCGTGTGGAGGCTTTCTGATGTAGGAGGTGATGGTTGAGGGGCCTCCCTGGAGGAGCGGTATCACCCGCCTAACGCTGTGTGAGGTGCTGGGGCTGCCGGTTCGATCCCACTGCAACCCTGGATGTGGCTCCCTGAATGGTTCTATCTGTCCTTCTACTTGACGAAAGTTTATTAGCCAAAATGGGGCCCACAATCCTGCAAATGTATGTAATTTCCAGTTGAAAAGTATTTTTAATGGTTAAGATTTTGTAATAAAAGAAAGAATAAAACATGAAAACAGAATAAAAATTTTAGAAACTACGATTTTTATGCTTTATTAAAAAAAAATATTTTTATTTCTGCCTGATCTTAAAAAATAGACGGCAGGATGTGTAATTTTCAAAACATTTGAGGAAATGTTCGGTAAGTATTGAAATATAATTTGCATGTGATCGTATTTCGCTGTAGGTTGGACAAAGACAAATTATTTTTTTCTATTTTGGTCTACTTAAAGAACAGTTTTTTTTTTTTTTTTTTTTTTTTTTTTTTTTTTTTTTTTTTTTTTTTTNGATTTTTACTTCGGTGGAAAATTCGATGGAAATTGACAGCGAGGGTAGGAAATTAAAAAGTTAATTATATCCAAATATTTGAGAAATATTTTATCGACTTCAATAAAAAATTTATTATTTGTGAGCTTAAAATGTTGTTTTTAATGAAATTCATATTACCTCAAAGAATTAGTCTCGTAATTTTTTTTTTCCCAATACCCACCTGGAGAATGACCTAGGTCATACAGGTATCTGAAGGGCAGATTTGTTGACCACTCTTTCAGGGGCACCATACCAGGTGGGCCAACGTTGCTCACACAGTCAGGATAGAAAGTACAGAGAAGGAAAGAACATCCATGCCTTGACCGGGTTTCGAACCCAGAACCTTTCTGATGCAAGGGCAGTTCCCTAACCCCTACACAGGCCTGTCGGCTTACTCTCGTAATTTATACACTCAATTTTAGCTCTCTAGCTAGTCGGAAAGTGGACAATGCCTTTAAAGCAAGATTCCATACTCATAGAGCAGAAAGCTAGTTAATAAACCCATTTTTAAAAAATCGACATCAAACGATATTTTAAAGGTTGATTTAATATTAACTGGAGTTATGCAGTCCACTGGGTAACGTTGCCTATTCTCTGAAAAAAGTTCAAGCCGAAAAAAATGGCCTTTGTTAAGGGTTTTGTAAAAAAAACCAGGGCTGTTAGTTATATTGTTCGTTGTTATTTGCATTTACTAATAGTTTATTAGTGTATTTCTAAAGTGACAGATGAGCAAGAAGTATTTTACCAAATTTGATCCGTGAAGCTCATAATTAGAACATCATCCTTGTGCTACAGCCCCTGTAGAGCTCTGGTCTCCTACAAGATTTTGTACTCTTCTGTTGCTTGCATTTTTTTTCTTAGTAGTAACTCTGAGTAGTTTCAGGTCCTCTTCAATTTGTTCTTCCCTTCCAGTTTTATGTGTTTCTCTTGATCTTCAACCTCCTAGTTTTCCATCTAATAATCTATACTTCCAATTTTCACAATTCTTTTATCTAATAATCATAATAATAGCTGGTAATTTATTTGTATTATTTGTCTTAACCATCGAAGTGAGATGATTGTGAAAATTTTAGACATTCATTTTTATTTGGGGGGGGGGGCTGGAAAGTAATAATGTTTGGGATGAAAAATGTTACTTCATGTAGAAGTCAGAGTCATTTTGCTTACTGTTCACTAACTGTCAAAGACTGTATGCAATGCAGACTTCAGCAGCTAGAATGATGCAGACATGACTAGCTAGACTCATGACCATTACTGTTCAAAAAGAGAATGACGGAAATTGGGAGAAAAAAGGCTTTAAAATTGATAGATGATGGTTGGTTGGTTCTAATGCCATTTCCTACACGGGCAAGCCTGTTTGGTGAAACTTAGCAAATTTAAGGCAGAGTGTGCGATTCTTGTTTTTCAGTGGCGCCATCTATGGCCAAGAATTCGACTTCTGCCACATCACACGTCACACCTGTTTATAAGGCGGACCCATTCATACATCCATTCATTCATCCACAGATCGTAATTTTGATCTGAATCAGAGAACGATCGGTCTCCAATCCAATACCCCCAGAGGTTTGATTTGTTATGGGAACATGGAGGACTTTGCGACTCGACAGAATTTTAACGTGCATCAGTCACCAACTACACGGGGAGTCTTTGGCCGGCGGGGTTCAAACCCAGAAACTCTCGGACATGGGCCCAGCGCCCTACCAACCAGGCTATCCCGGCATTGATAAATGATCTTTGAACTTGCAACAGAATTGGTGGTTACAAAATTTTTTTAGATGATAAAAAAAATCTCGAAGCATTGCTTGACAAATATTTTAAACATTCTAGTTCGATTTGAGATTCAAAGACATGCGGTTTACATCTGCATGTGGATGAATCCAATGGGCATTTTTCTAATCCTAACAAACGCTATTTTCGCGAAATACCATCTTCAAGAAATCGGCAATGGGAGAAAAAATAATTTGAACAAGAAAATTTGTTTGTAAAGATTGTTTTTTCAAACAACATGAGTAAAACTTCGTATTGTGCTGTTATTTTCGAAAGTAGATTAATTTCGAAGGCTCTCTAGTCGCATGAAATGAGGATTTTTTAGCAAATAATATACTATTTTCATAACTCATGTGAATTTACAACAGTTACTCATGGTTTTTAGGTGAAGTTTAGCCTATCTTTAGTCAGCGCCCTTTATGTTTATTCTAAAAACGGCGCAAAGCACCAATATGGGGAAAAGTCACAGTTTTGAGAAAAGGAAAAGCATTTGTGGTCTAGTTTTTATATATTTCAAATCTTATTCCAATGCTGCATTATCTGGGCTCATAGAAATTTGCAAAAAATGGGAATAAGGCATGGATCTTGATCATTTTCATCAAGATCTGGCTCATTTGCGGGATATAGACGCTCGGTGCTACGTTTAAGGCTTTTTGTGTGGCACTTTTTACTAAACTGAAACCTTGTGCTGCCAATTCGAATACCTATGATATCCATGATGCGGGCAATCCCCATGCAACCGTCGTTGAAGATCACCGTTGCCAAATCTTGTTGTCGTAGGCTATTAAGGCAATAGGCGCGATTGTTCTTGCTTTCCAGTGGCGCCATCTATTGCCAATCTTTCACCTTCTGCCACATTCATAGGTCACACCCGCTTATAAGACAACCCATTCATACATTCTTTCATCAACATATCGTAGACGTTCAGTAGTTTTGACCTGAACCAGGGAACTATCAATCTCCAATTCAGTACCCCCAGAGGTATAATTTG